GGTCGAGCCGCTGTTTTTCTATGGGCTTGGTTGCCTGGTGGCATCAGCGCCTGGTAGAACTCGCGTGAGGCCTCGCACGCGGCTCCCGCGTCCACGCAAAACCCGCTAGCCCCTGGCCACTCAACAAGTGGCCCGTTCGTTTGTGGCCTGCGGGTAGGCTTGCTAGGTGTCTGGTATTGACCCGGATAGTCTGGTATTTTCGCCTCCTGTCCAGTAAAAAAAATTCAGAAAATACCGGACACCTGGCAACCCTACACACATTCAGCAACTGGGCCCAGCCACCCCGCCCCCAGGGTCCTAGGACCTCCCTGCTTACCTGGTTCTGCAGGGAAGCTGCCTTCTGACTCCGATCAAGAAAACAAGATGGCCACCAGCAAAAAGCCTAAAGACTTTTCTTAAAGGGGCCATGCTGTTTTAATGCTGTTTTTTTTTTTTAATTTTATTTTGTTTTTGCTTAATAACTCTCGGGGTACTTTTTTTTTTCCCCTCAACAACTTTGGTTCCCCCCCCCCTTTTTTTTTTCTCCTCGGCAGAATTTTTTCCCTGGTGTTTTTTTGCAGAGGGGGTGGTTCCGTATTTTTGGTTAAACCATCTGGCAACCCTGCTCGCGGGGCGGGTTGGGTTTACAGGGGAGCCCAAGACATGGCTCAAGTCCTGCTACGCTGGTTGAGTTTCACATACAAGGCCTTTTCCTATCTTGACTGGAGAGGCTGATGCAACCGAAGGTCTCCAAGGTAGCTCTTCGGGCATCCCCGTCTGAACACGTGGAACAGTTTCCAATTCTGGCTGCCTTACAAGGGTGAATAAACCAGGTTCTGACCCCCCTTTTGGGTTCCCAATGGCTTTGGAATTTTATGCTTCACTTAGTTGGGGCTTTACGTCGGGACTGATTAGTTCCCGGGTGTGTTGCTCTTCACCAGGAGTTTGTTTTAAAAGCCCCCACGGTGGGCCAGGAACTGCCACCCTGCCACGAACCAAACTCAATGAGAGGTTTCTTTGTGCCCCGGAGCTCCAGGGACATGTCAATTGGTCCCACCACTGCTCCTCTGTTGTGCCGTCTTTCTGAAGGGCCTAAAAAAATCACTCCTCACCTTTCTGAATGTTGCGGCGCGTTCCATCCCAGAGATGGCAGCATTGCCCCAGTTGGGGAAATGGTACAGCCGGCAAACCCCCTTCTAGTGCAGTGTTTCCAGATTCAACGGAAATCCGACGGCCTCTCCACGGTAATAGACGCTGGGGGCCCCGGCCGTGCAGTCCTGCCTGCTACAAAATGTAGCTTGTATTTGTGTGGCTGACCTCCTGTCCTGGCTAGCTCAGCCCTTTCTTGACAAATGCCTAGGCTCAGAGGTGATCACTCATAAAAATCCAGCCTAGCGTGAGTGCGAGCGCATGCAATTTCAGCTCAGAGCACCTTTTTGTTACCCAAAACTTGGAAAAAATCAAATTGTCACCGTGCTGGGGAGTGAAACAGCCACAAGACTGCAGCTCTGGAGGGCAGCAAATCCCAAGTCACGGTGTAAGGCCTGACTGGGTGTTCTCCTTGGGTCTATTAAAGCTTGCTTGCCCTGGGGTGTACTTCCGTACCAGGGGCAAGATCATTCAAGGGCCAAACGGAGGCCACCAGTACATTGAGGATCTGAATTGGCTTACATGGAAAGACACTTGTTGATTTCAATGGGCTTTGGATCTGGCCCTCTTTGAAGCCCACGAAGAGCCGTCAGTCTCTGTTTCTGTACACTGCACCCTGTTGTACAGTTACGGCACCACAGTGCATTGAGTGGTTTCACTTTCTGGATGGTAATGGATACCAGAGAGAGGAAATATTGACCATTTACACTGGATTTGTCATTGCATCGAAAAGTTTAATGGGCTGGTGTCAGCAAGCGCAGAAATGTTGGGGGTAAAATTCATGGTAAGTGTAGCTTAACCACTGTCGGGGTTGGGATTGTCGGTGGCCAAGCCTAGTGGTTAGCGACTGGGCGCAGGAGGATCATGTCCAGTCACTGGCCATCGGACAGAAGCCAGAGTAGGTCAGTCACTAGGTCAGAAGGGGGCTAAGCAGCAGTCAGACAGAACCCAATTGTGCAGACATCCTGTGCCTCTTGGTTTAAATAGGAAGCGGTGACCAATCAGAGCTGCTGGTGTTCCTCCAAAGCTGCCTCTCTCATGTAGCATGCGGTTTCACGGTGTCTCCGCTCCATCAGTGGTTGCAAGTTGCTGGCTGAGAACAGGGTGCAGCAGCGTGGGAACCCTGCAGACCCATGTTCAAGACCTGCAGGGACACACACACACACAGAGGGCTAGATGGTTGGCCTCACGCCATCTCCTGTGTCGGAGTGTGCTGGGAGCATCCGGCATCTCAGCCAGAGCTCCGTGCACCCCCATGATCTAAGGCTGGTGTAACAGAGCTGTAATCGCTCTGTGTGACTTAGCGCATCTGTGGACTCTACCTCAAGTTGACTCTACCACGCTCCCCCTTGTTCTGCTTGTGCTTCTGGATCTGTAAGCCATATTGTTTTGTCCCCCTTTGGCACTTGGCGGGCTTGCTAGTTACACCACTTTACACTCTCACCCATTTTCTAACCCACGTTCTAACTTACAGTACCGGGGAATTTGGCCTGGACACTAATCTAGGACTTTGTGCCACCGAATTTAACGAGGGCTGCCAATTTCCCCGAGCTGACGAACCAGATGCCATGTGCAGCATCGGCGTCTGGTCCGTCTGTCCAGGAAAGTTGGCAAACCTAAGTTTAACCCAAAGTTTCTCCTGATTGCTTAGGGCTGTAAATTTGAGACGTCAGCACCAGTTTAGTTAAACCAATGCAACCCCCTTGTAGGCACTCTTTTTTCTCTTTGAAAGCGAGCTTGTTTTAATTTCAAAAGCTAGCCCAAACGAAGCCACTCGTCAATAGAAATAAGAGCCCACAACAGGGTTTGCCCCCGCATAACTAAAATGGGTTACATCCACATCTTAGATTAAGTTTGACGCAAGCTTCCTGTGTAGGCAAAGCCTCAGCTCAACACTGGAAGTGGCACAGTTGTTTGGAATCTTCCCTCCTTTGGAAAGAACATGGGATATTTGTTAGCGAGACAAGACAGCCGGAGGTAAACAAGGAACTGGCAGCGGGAACGAAGAACTAAATAAGAAATGAACAAATCAAGCCAGTTGGTATTTTTCTGTCTTTGAGCCCAAGGAGAAACCTAACAACTTTTTGAAGTTTTTCTTCACTCAGCACACAGTCAACCTGTGGAACTCCTTGCTAGAGGATGTGGTGAAGACCAGGAAACAGGGTTCAAAAAAGAGCTAGATAGATTCATGGAGGTTAGGTCCATCAATGGCTATTAGCCAGGATGGGTAGGAATCGTGTCCCTAGCCTTTGTCTGTACATGGGTGACGTGCGGATTACCTGTTGTGTTCCCTCCTGGGGCATCTGGTATTGGCCACTGTCGGCAGACAGGATACTGGGCTGGATGGTCCATTGGTCTGACATCTATGCCTTATTGGTCTGACCCCCTTCTTATATTTATGTTCTTATCTTCCCCATTACTGTAGACACAGATACTCCGTGGCCGGTGATCCACTGCAAATTCTGAAGCCTCACCCGGCTATTTAGAACTACATTAGCTTCCAGGAAAATTATCTCCGCTGCATGCCAAAGCAACAACAAACCCAAACAAAAACCCCCGCAGCTTGCAGGGATAGCAATTAAGGATGTAAATATTAGAGAGATGTGGGGGGTAGCAGGAAGGAAATTGCTGAACGGTGGCAAGAGGCTGCAGAGCACGGTCTGTATTGAAAACTTTATCATTAGGTTGGCCAGACATTGACTTCACTTTTGCTTGGACACAGCTAAGGAGGAATTTGGCCTCTCGCTAGTAATACACACCCAGTCCAGCAAAACCCATCAGCCCAAGGGACTCGGCCTGTGCTTAAATGTAGGTACTTGCTTAAATGCTTTACTAAATTGGGGCAGTGATTATAAGAGCGTTGCTATAGTGGACAGAGGTATCGGTTGTAGACACGTGACTCGGTATAGCTATTTGGAAAGGGGGTAACTCCTAGTTCTGTGGCTCTTGAGTACAGTCAAACACCTGTTTGTAGAGATATCTCTGATGATGAAAAGCGCTATGCACCACACACAATTAACTTGCCCTTCCTCTAAAAAGCTCAGCGCCGAAATAAACAAATTCCCCCCGTTAGAGGAAAATAATTCCCTGGCACATTCACATCAATTCGTCCATTGGAAAGGGGGTAACTCCTAGTTCTGTGGCTCTTGAGTACAGTCAAACACCTGTTTGTAGAGATATCTCTGATGATGAAAAGCGCTATGCACCACACACAATTAACTTGCCCTTCCTCTAAAAAGCTCAGCGCCGAAATAAACAAATTCCCCCCGTTAGAGGAAAATAATTCCCTGGCACATTCACATCAATTCGTCCACCTGGCATCGTGCGAGGTTCCCACGTGCGAGGTTCTCACATGCGGGCTGAGTCAGTGCCTGATCACAAACCAGTGTCCCAGTCTAGCATAGTCTCGTGTGTGGCTTCTGTCTGTGTACACGCACGGGGCAGGAGAGGGGTGTCTCCCCAGCCCCATGTGGGCTTCCCGGACAGGACCCCGGGCGCAAAGAAAACAGGCGCTTCCCAACTGCTAGTCTCCCCTGGAGGGGTGGGGATCAGAGAGGGGTAGGTACAGCCACGGCTTCTCCTCCCTGGTGCAACTGAGCCAGTGCAAGGCACGGGAGCAGGGGACACCAGCCAGGGCTGTTCCTGGGGCATCCCCCAGAGCTTTGAGCACTGAGTCCACTTAGCTCCGAATCAGCAGCATCCAAGCCAAGGGCCCGGTCCTGTTCCTACGCTGGTGGAAAGCAAGGGGGCCCG